TTAAAAATTTCACGCACCAACGCATGAAAGCTGGATTCGAAACCTTGAATGGTGAATATCTTTCCGTGACTCCCGTGTTAATAGTTTATCCGCCAAAATTTCCACGAGGCCGTAGGTAATACTAAAGAGCGCGGGAACGCTGAATTTGAATAGGCAAGGTTGAGCGTGAGCAAGGGGTCATTACCCTAAAATTTCAGCCTCCTAGACTCCGTGGTTCCCGAGATAATAATTTACCCGCAAAAAAATACGTGTTACCCGCGGGCACGGGGAAGCTGAATTTAAATACGCGGGGTCACACGTGGGTGGGGAACGTTCCCCTAAATTTTCAGCTTCCTAGCTTTCGTGATTTCCGAGTTGAAAGTTGCGGACAAGTTGCTGCGGACACACACACAAACACACACATAGACAACCCCGTGACAATATGCGTTTTGTACTGCTGTTACACAGCATAAAACGCATAAAAATGCGCCACTTATTCAAAAATAATATATTTAATGTAGGAAAGAAGATGCTTACATATGTTGTGACATATCGGCACAGTGCCGAATGTATTGTCTCATCTTCGGGACTCGATTTTGTTCGCACTGTTGCTGAGCGAAAATAGTACAACACAAATGTACGTAACAGATGAACACGTCCAACTGCTTCCACTTTATCAGCGATGCTGATCAGCGTGCTATAAAAACAATAGTTCCAAAGAAAAACTAAAATGGGTGATATGACCAAAAAAATATTTCTCGAGGACTGGAAAAACGACCTTTGCTGTTTTTTGACCGAAATTACATGTCGGGGTAATTTTGCATGTAAAAAAGCTAAAATTTTAAGGTGTTAAAGCTTTTTTAATGTGCTTACAATAGGCTAAAACTTTTGAGAATCTAGAATATCAGGGTTGAATCTTTAAGGTGTATCGCGTAACATATCAAATAATGATTAATGGTTTTTGTTAAAAATAGATTAAAGACTAACTGCGTTACTATGACGCAGGACCCTTGTCCCTGGTTCAAACTTTGACCATCCTACTCTCATTAAACTTTCAATCTTTGTCCCATGGGGTATAAAAGCACTCCTCCCCATCGCCGGGATCGCCAGTACCGATCTACTACTGAGACCTACTTATTCTATATAACTAATACTCCTATTCTGGGGAGCTTCGGCTCCGCAGAGCCTCACCTCCTTTTTATGCATTTTCCTTTTAACTAAGTATTGATAAGCATGTATATAGAACGCGACGTTTGCACACACATATCAACGAAGCACACACTAGTCTAATAGGCTAACAATTAGGGTTGCGATAGGTGCTGAAACTTTTTAAGGTCCTTACAATAGGCTAAAACTTTTTTGAAGTGCCAAAAACTTTAAAAAGGGCTAAAACTGTTTTTTAAGGTGTTTGCAATATCAGTATTTTATGTTCCGTACTAAAAATTATGATTAAACGCATCGAAAAAGTGGTACGAAGCAATCGGTGGTAAGCAGCTCAGGGTCGAAGGCTTTCATAGCTGCACTTGGGCAAATAGGAACATCACAAATAATATCACTAAAATTATTCCAAAAAACCCTTTTGCAGAAACGCCTGGCATTTGAGATCCCAATGCCGATTAACCAGACGGTCATGATAATTTTACTTTACCAAAAAAATGATAAAACCGACTGGCCGAACATCGTGGGTATTTCGTGTTCCTGGTGTTACTAGAATGCTTCTACAGGACACGTGCAACTGGATCAAACCCCCTTCGATTCTAAGCTGCATATCTCCAGTCAGTACTGACCACCTTTTGCTAACCACCTTCTCTGGGGTGGCAAAAGCGCTCATTTAAAGGAACATCAAAAAGTGGCCTAATTAAAAAGATACTTTTATTAAGTAAAAATATAAGTGTATAAAAGAGATGAACGTTTTTCCAAAAAAAAGAAAACAAACCCCAAAGTACTTAGCGCCATTTCATCGGTTGATAAAAATGGTAATAACGATAATAGGCGATTCAACAAAGTTGGTAAAAATGGAATCAGACGTTCAATTTTAACCTCCGATAATGCCTGTAATTTAGCATACATGTGTGAAAAGAACAAATTGGAATTATCAACTAATTATTCCAAAAAATCCTTTCGCACAAACACCTGGCATTCCTGTATATGTCTTTCTGATGAATTAATGCATCGTACTGCATCGATGCTCATCAGACAGAAAACATGTAAGAACATGTGGCACTTGTGATGGCTTCATTTCTTGATTTTTAGGATCTCAACTGAGAAGCGCCGAAAAGTTAAGTAAGTTTCCTCAACAAAGTTTACGAACTT